CACCTTGAGCCTATTGCTCCTTTTCCTGTCATCTGCCCCCACTGGGACCAGTCCAGCTCTGTCCTCTTTGCAGCCCCCCTGCAGGGAGGTGAAGGCTGCTCTTCAATCCCCCTCGGTCTTCTCCACTAAATCAGCCCAGTTCCCTCAGCCTGTCCTCACAAGTCATGTTCCCCAGCCCCTGAACTATATTTATTGCTGTCCACTGAACTCTCTCCAGCTTGTCCACATCCTTTTTGTAGCGGGGGCCCAAAACTGGACATAGGACTCCAGTCGTGGCCTCACCCATGCCAAAAAGAGGGGAAGAATCACTGTCCTCAATCTGCTGGCAACGATCCTACCAATACAGCCCAAAATGCCATTAGCCTTCTTGGCAACAAGGGTACACTGCTAGGTCTTATTCAGCTTTTGTCCACTGTCACCCCCAGGTCCTTTTCTGCAGAGCTGTTGCTTAACTAGTTGGTCCTCAGTCTGTACCGGCGCATGGGATTGCTTCATCCTAACTGCGGGACTTTGCACTTGTCCTTATTGAACCTCAGGAGTTTTCTTTTGGTCTGATCCTCCAATTTGTCTAGGTCTCTCTAATTGTCTAGGTAATCTCTATTAGTAAACTAATTGAGCTTGACTATTTCGGTCTTTTGACCACTTCTTAAAAAGACTTACATCCTAGTTTGAGACCTCAAGTCAGGTGCAAGCAAGGTCCTGGGGATTAAGCTGAATGTTGTCTCCAGTAAGAAACCCCATGCAGCTTAAAGGGAAGAGAATTGATCTTCACTCCTTCCTTCTTCAATGTTAGCATCATGGGCCTGTTTCTCCACTGCAAAGGGGTAGAGAAAGTAGAGCACAGGCTGATATCCCATGTTCTCGTGATTTTAAGGGGACACCATACTCACATGAATTGCTTACAACTGATCCCAGGCAATCCACTGATGCATGCTGAGCCCACACAACTCAAGTTGCAGTGAAGGAAGTTAAGGTTAGATATGAGAAAAATCTTTCTCACTAGGAGGGTGGTGAAGCACTGGAGCAGGTCACCCGGAGAGGTGGTGGACTCTCCATCCTTGGAGATTTTTAAGACCTGACTAGACCAAGCCCTGGCTGGGATGATGCAGTTGGGGCTGGTCCTGCTTTGAGCAGGGGGCTGGACTAGATGTGACCTCCTGAGGTCCCTTCCCATCCTCATTTTCTATGATTTTATGAAAACTCATTGCCACAAGGTGGAATTGATTTAGGATTCAAACAGAGTTGAACCTTTGTTGTGATAACACGAATCTCCAGAGTTGCGTTAGAAAGGATTGGGGAAAGGAAACTCAGATGGGTCGAAGAGAGGCAACCTGGTGGCTTCTGGGCATAGGCAAGGTTAGGATCATGCAGGGAAGTTATTCTGCAATGACCCACTTCAGTGCTTTCTTGTCCTCTCTTCGAAGCAGGATAGTCGACACTGGACTGGGTGGATCATCATTCTGACCAAAAATGGAGATCCCTGTATTTTCAGGCATAGTCATTTATTTAGGAGTCACACACAGGCCTAGAAAGGAGAGAAAAATCCTAAACCCAGGGGCCATCTCTGTAACTCATCATGATTCAATGTAGGGGGATGTTTCTAGTAATTAGGGCAGGGATGTGAGCTGCAAGGGATTGGGGGTCAGTTCCTGGTTCTCTTGCCAATGAACTTTGTGGAAGTCACTTAATCTAGTCTCCTAAGGGAGTGATTTGTCAGTGACCATGTCAGGGAGGCTGGGAGGGTAAGATCTGCACCATGCTTGGGTCCTATGGTGACAAAGGGCTGGGAAGACAGATGGGTTCCCCTGCAATCTCTGAGCTCCCATCCCCTGAAGTTCATGAGTTCCCGTCTTGGACACCTCCTTTCTGCTTTGATGTTAACCTGGTGGCATGCACAAAATACTGAACAAAGCCCAACTCCCTTCTCTCTTTCTCACCAGTCATAACCTTGTGCTGTATCTTCAAGTGTCGGATCCCCCGGACCAGGAAGGAGATTGAGGCGAGGTACATGCAGAGGAAAGCTGCCAAGACGTATGCAGATAAACTGGATACCGTGCCAGCGCTCGATGAGCTGACCGAGATCCCTGGAGGTACCCGTCGCCTCTTCTGGGGTTACTTTGCTTGCAGGGACACAAAAGGCCAGCCCCTCCAGTGGGTTTCACCAGTAGATGTAGGTCAATGGTGCCCTTTGCAAAGCCCTTGTGCTTTGCACTCTGCACTCGCATGCCAACGGTTGAAGCAGCAAACACTGCCCGTGAGATGAAAGGGCCTGATGCTCTGCTGGTGAAAATCATCCTAGCTGGTTGCAGGTCAATGGAGGAAGATCCTCCAGTGATATGAACCAGAGTAGGTGGGTTGAAGTCAACAATTTAAGCAAGGTGAGGATCAGACTCGTGTTTCCATTCATGGGGCCAGATGCCAGGCAGCAAGTCAGTTGTGAATATTTCAGATTACCTTTCCATGGTCTGCTGATTTAGACTGGCCAGGCCCATCTCTCTCACTGTGGTGCTCTTACCCTCTCCTTTCCTCTCACTTATTTCTCCTGCTTCTGTGCCCTAGGCTCTACTGAAAGCCTCCCGACTCTCTCTGGCCATATCCAGTCCAGACCTCTCAGCTCTCTGCCCGTGGTAAAAGAAGAAGATGAAATGGCCCTGCAAGGAAATTAGCAGGACTGTCTGTCTGTCTGTCTGTGGCTTCTCCTTCCCATGACTTCATAGGAGACTCTTCACATCAGGACGTTGAGATCTCTCTTCTCCTTTCCTTTCTTATGTTTAACCCTTTTTACTCTCTTCATAGCATTTTCCTAAGATGTTTCTTCTTTACACTGCTCTACATATCCAGCCAAGGGTCAATATTCTTTACAGGAACTTGGAGCTTCGTTGAATCAGGATATTATATTCTGGGACATGAAGGGAGGCAGGAAAGAGGGTTTTTATGAATGTGCAGCAAAAGGCACTATTTTAGGGTGAAAGAAAACTAGAGGAACAGAGACCCTGAAACAGCAAAACTTCTAAGGTCAGGCCAAACTGCAAACAAACGGGGCCCAGATCCTCCAAGGTGTATAGGTACATATGTCCTGTCAAAATCGGTCACCGTTGAAGACCTGGACCATGAGATCTGATGCAAAGTACACTTAAACTGATGCAAAGGACCAGAGATTTTGAAGGGTTAGACTGTCAACTAGTATCATTTTGATGTAACCCTAATGCATCAAGGGAAACTATGCCAAACTATGACATCTCTTGTCCTGGCCTAAGGGAGTGCCTTGCTAGAGTCATCAGAGACTCAAAGGACATCGAGCCAAGTCTTATTCCTATTTTTGCCATTGAGTAAGTAGGCCAATAAACCTAGAGGTCCAAGGGCCACCTGAACCATTGGGCTCACATGGTTAAGGCACATCAGACTCTGCAGCCAACAACACACAAGAAAATGATGAGTCCAGCATCCTATCTGGATGCCTGTGACTCCTAGCCCAAATAATCAAGTGCCCATTTACAGTTGTGTTGACTAGACTCCAAATCAAGGCACTGAACTGGATCCATAGTAAGCCACCTTTACCCATGTACTCATTCACCCCATCCATCTGTGAGATACATCCTGCAAAACCAATGGATCCAGGGAGTTTTTTGTCCCAGGGACACTGAATGGGTAGGAATGACCATGGAAACCATGTTGTCCTTGAAGTATGAAACTAGGTGCAAACAGATGGACAAAGGTGGCTTTCCTTGCATCAGTGTTTACATTCAAGATGTTTAAAATGCAAAGAAGGTCCACCTATGCAAAGGGAATATAAAATTCTGCCACACTGACGTAGTAGCATTTTGCATTCACCTTGCATACTTATGAATTATTCATTATGCATCATTTACATGATTATTCACTATAATGTATTTGTAATGCATAGTAGCCCCAGTCGTGGACTAGGAACCCAGGCAAGGGGAAAAAAGCAAATTGTTTTAATTACCAACTGGTTAAGCACTTCAAAGATAAAGCCACTGTGTAAGTGCCAAATGAATCACAATGATGTTACAATTGTCAGATAGGATTAAGTATTATTGCCTTTTAATTTTGCGCCTCTCTGGAGGATGGTTATGGATGGAAGACCTGAGCTGTGAATGGGGTCTGTGTTTTGAAGACTGTACATAGAGGGTGCCACTGCTGTTGGAGAAATATAAGAGATGGCTTAGCACTGTGTGTGTAATGTCGTCTTATTGATGTGAGTCATTCACTTTAGTCTGATATGAGTGGTGCAAGCAGGACATGGCCCTTGTTACGACTGGAGCTGGTGCCATGTGTCCTGTGAGCTGGATCAGTTGTCCCCCCTGACTACTTTGTAAACTTCCCAGGAGTGTATCCTCATTGCCAAGCTATGGGCTATGCTCTGAGCACCATCCACCTCCCCCAACTCCTGCTGAAGCTTTTGAGAGAGAGGACGAGAAGGAACAGGATTTTGTAATTACAGTGTGAAACTGGTGGGATAGTCATAGGCTCTACTTCTTGCTCCTGGTGTTACTGCTATGATTTATCCAAGGTCCTAGGAAGGGGTCATAGCCTGTCTCCTCCCACCAAGGGATGTGCATTGGCCACACACCCATGCTCCTTCTTTCCTGCCCTCTTCTTGTTCCCATGTACTAGATATGCTCAGGAGCTGAGATGCATAATTCTGGGCCCTGGCTTCTACTCTGGGGACCCAGTACCTATAAGTTAGGTGCTACATCATATTACTTATAGGCAACTCCAGCTCAAAGGCAATTGCCCAGAGTTACACAGCAGGTCAGTAGCAGAAGCAGGAAGAGATCTCAGGTTTCCTGTTTCCAATTCTCTTCCAGTAAAACCCTTAAGGGGAAACCAATCAGTGGGCATTTATGGAAGGAGGTACCACAGGATGGGGAATGGTGTTAGAATCTGGCCCTAAATCAATGAGAAACAAGTAAAATCAGAGTTAATGACCCATGTGATAATGGAGATTGATAACTAACTGGAAGGTTGGGTGGACCTGCCTTTTCCATGGATAAGCACGTGTGTGCATGCATGTGTGTGTGTGTGTGTGTGTGTGTGTGTGTGTGTGTGTGTGTGTG